GAAGAAGATGAACTAAGTCCCAGTGCCTTCCTTGCTCAGTTTGGAGCTGTGCCATGGCAGACACTGGGGAAGAAGAGACAGTATCAGCAGAAGCCTCGGGGTTCTCAGATGTGAGTGACTCAGAGTTCCTAGAGTTTCTGGATCTGGAAGATGCTCAGGAGTCAAGTGCTTCATTTAGCAAGCCTGGACCTTCTTCCAAACTCCCTACAAAGGATCCCAAGCCTGTAAGCTTACAAGACTGGAAGAGAGGATTGGATGTTTCATCACCAATGGAGAGATTTCACCTTAAATATTTAAACGTCACTGACCTATCTACTCAGAACTGGTGTGAATTGCAAGTTGCATATGGGAAGGAGCTTCCTGGTTTCTTGGCACCTGAGAAGGCAGCTGTTTTGGACATAGGTGCCAGCATCCACCTGGCAAGAGAACTAGAACTTGGTGATCTTGTAACTGTACCCGTCACCACTAAAGAAGATACTTGGGCAATTAAGTTTCTGAACATACTCTCGATGATTCCTACCCTGCAGTCAGAGGGTTGCGTCCGAGAGTTTCCAGTATTTGGGGAAGTGGAGGGTGTGCTTATTGTTGGGGTGATTGATGAGCTGCACTATACAGCCAAGGGGGAACTGGAACTGGCTGAACTCAAGACACGCAGGCGCCCCATGCTCCCTTCAGAAGCTCAGAGAAAGAAAGATTATTTTCAAGTCAGCATATACAAATATATCTTTGATTGCATGGTACAAGGAAAAGTGACACCCACTCATCTAACCCATCACACAAAATTGAATCCAGAAAAGCCACTGGGACCTTCAGTGCTGAGGCATGCCCAGCAGGGAGGCTTCTCTGTGAAGTCTTTGGGTGACCTCATGGAACTAGTCTTCTTGTCTCTAACACTGTCTGACCTCCCAGTTATTGATACCCTGAAGGTTGAGTATGTCCACCAAGAGACTGCCACTGTGCTGGGTACAGAGATTGTGGCCTTTGAAGTGCGTGAAGTAAGAGAGAAGGTGCAGCATTATATGGCCTACTGGATGGGTCACCGAGAACCTCAAGGGGTTGATGTGGAAGAGGCTTGGAAATGCCGGACATGCAGCTATGCAGACATCTGTGAATGGAAAAGGAATGGTGGAGTACTTAGCTCCACCCTGGAACCCCTGGCCAAAAAAGCCAAATGAGCAGGAAGTATGTATTGAATGTGATCCTCCTTTTTCCTATTGCGCCTGAGCAAAAGATGACCAGTCTCAGCTTGGCTTTCATAGAGAGCTTTTTTTTTTTTAAACTATTTACATATGAGTGGTGAATTCTTGTAATTTTATGTTGCCTTGGCATCCATTTCAGAGTTGTTTTGTTTGTTAGTTTTGTTTTGTTTTAAGCTACAGGGCATGTGCGCTCACTGGGAAGAGACAGAGAGAGAGAAAGGGAAAGTGAGAAAATACCCCTCAGAGATGATGACTACACTGTGCGTCTCTATTTTTCTCTCGAATTTCTGGCATGCAAACACATATGCCCAGTGTGTTTTTCAAGCTGTTTAGGCTGAGACTTGAACTCAGTTGACATTGTAGGATCCAGTTGCCTTAATTACCATGCCACCTGGCTGACCCATGGAGAGTGCTTTTCAACTTTATTTTTTTTTGTATTTCTACAACCTCTTCCACATTCATATCCAGGACCAAGGTTCAATGATGAGTGGGAGAGAGAGGAATTATATCCCTGGAGACTTACCATGGGTCACATAGAAGACATGTTTATCATGACTGGAGCATATGTATCCTTTAGCAAATACTGTTTTCCTAAGAACACTCTTCAGTTTCTAAGAAATCTTCTCTGTTTATCAAGACTTTTTACTTTTTTGTAATAAAATAATGTGAAACACTAAAAAAATTTTAAAAAAGAGAGAGATTGTATGTTCCCACTTAATATATACCAAATGTCCACACTCTATGGCAGAAACTGAAAGACTGGAAGATATAGAAGCATAAAGAACCATTTTGGATACTAGAGGCACTGTGGGAGGAGGTGGGAAATGGGAGAGGGTGAGAGGAAGGGAATCGAGAAAAGCAAAACATTTAAGGGACAAAAAAATGAAAAACAAAAAACCTGTTGGTGATAATGTATATGATATCTTTAACAGGACTAATATACAATGTATTCATGCTGGGAATTCATTTTGCAAGCTGTAATGATATACAATGATTGAATACATAGAATAGTTAATAAGTTTAAAAATATTTTAATTCTAAAAACAAAATTTTTTAAATTCTAAAGACAAAAACATGTACCCATTTGACACAACATCATTTATTTAAAATCCATCTTTAGCTTAACAATTTGGAAGGCTTTTTTTTCTTACTTTTATTTGCCATAGGGCTAGTGTTTTTCCTGGAGGGAGACAGAGAGACAGAGGGAAGGTGAGAGGGTACCCTCTACAGGGGATGGCCACATTGCAATCTCTTTCATCCATTCACCTCTTTGGATTTTGGGCACACACACTGACCAGCATGTTTTTTGGGCCGCCAGGTCTGGGACTTGAACAATGCTCTTCGTCATGTGGGATCCAGCCACCTTGACCACTATATCACCAGATGGCTTGAAACTCACACTGGGCATCTGTGTATGCATGCCCAGAATCCCAAGAGATGAATAGAGGAGAGAGGATTGTATTATGGCCATCCCCCCTGGGGTGTGGCTTCTCACTTTCCCTCTCACTTTCTGTGTGTCTCTAGTGAGCATATGCCCTGTGGCAAAAGCTTTAAAAAACAAATACATTCTAAGTTTTCAAGTGAGTACAGTGATATTTCTGGAGTTTTTTGTTTTGTTTGGTTTTGTCTTATTTTACTTAATTTTATGTCTGTCTTTTCATGTGCCAATATTATGAATCTTTGAGACTTAATAATATACTATGCTAGTCCTATCCCTCTTCTCTTTCAGACTTCTCCCTGTCAAAGTCTACTTGCATAAAAATACCTTTTGGTATTTTATAGTCTATTTTGGATTCATAAATCATTAGAGATAATTGATATGTGTGATTTTGTTTTTTCCATTCTAAAGGTGGCCAGTTTTTAAAATTCAAGTGTACTTTTCCTTTTTTTTTTTTTTAAGAGGTTTTTGTCATAAGGCACGGGAACTTGCTGGAAAAGAAGAGAGACAGAGACAGCAAGGAAATGAGAAATCGCCCCTCAAGGGAGAATGGCCATGCCACAATCCCTTCTTCATTCTCTTCCTGGGATTTTGGGCATGCACACACACATACCTGGTATGATTTTTCAAACCACTAGGCTCAGGATTTGAACTGCAGTTGGCCACATGGGAGTTTGGTGATGTAGCCACTACACCATCTGCTGGCCCCAAAATTCAAGTGTATTTTTGTTTCACAACTGTTACTGTTTTCTTCATGTGAATGTCATTTTTTTAAATGTCATGTCTGGCCCTCACCAATGGGCTGTCTCACTGCAGGCATGCCCTGCCACTGCCCTGCAGAAATGCTTCAGTTACCCACAGTCCTTCACCAGGTGAGTCCAGGGCACTGGCTCCTCATCTCACTCAGGCTTATGCCAAAAATGTAAAATTAGATGTGGATGCCCAAGCCTTAATGCTTCAAGGTGTAGCCCTTTTAGCCAATGCTGCGGCCGCAACAGGGCAAAAGAGAACAGTAACTATGGAGCAGGGTTAGAAAAGTCCCAAAGTAACAGAAAATAGTGTGACTGTTGCAAAATCAATCGACTTTAAAGGATAAATATAAAAATAATACTGGAGCAAAACTCGCTCAAGATGTTGCCAATAACAGAAACAAAGAGGCTGGGAATGATACCACCTCTGCTACTGTACCAGCACACAAAAAAATTAGTCAAGGTACTAATCCAGTGGAAATCAGGAGCGGTGTGGTGTTAGCTGTTGATGCTGTAATTGCTGAATTTAAGAAGTAGTCTAAACCTGTGAGGACTCCAAAGAATTTGCTCAGGTTGCTACAATTTCTAAAATGGAGACAAAGAAATTGGTAACATTAGTCCTGGCACAATGAAAAAGGTCAGAAGAAAGGGTATAGCATCACTATAAAGGATGGAAAAACACTGAATGATGAATTAGAAATGACTGAAGGCATGAAGTTTGGTCAAGGCTATATTTCTCCATACTTTATTAATACAGCAAAAGGTCAGAAACATGAATTCCAGGATGCCTATGTTCTATTGAGTGAAAAGAAAATTTCCAGTCCATTGTCCCACACTTACAATTGCCAATGCTCAACGTAAGCCCTTGGTCATAATTGTTGACGATGTTGATGGAGAAGCTCTAAGTACATTCGTCTTGAATAAACTAAAAGTTGGTCTTCAGTTTGTAGCAGCCAAAGCTCCAGGTTTGGGCAACAATAGAAAGAACCAGCTTAGGGATCAGCAGATGGAGTAATGGTTACATCACTGGATTCCCACGTAGTTGACCGTGATTCAAGTCCCAGACCCTGTAGCTTAAATCTCATGCCGAGTGTGAGTACATGCCCAAGATCCCAAGAGGAGAATGGAAGAGAATCACCCGTGGGGACTGATTTCTCACTCTGTGTCTCTCTGGTAAGTGCACGTGCCCTATAGCAAAAATCTATCTTTAAAAAAAAAAAAAAGAAAGAAAGAAAGAAAGAAAAGAACCAGCTTAAAGACATGGCTATTGCTACAGGTGGCACAGTGTTCAGAGAAGAGGGGTTGACCTTAAATATTGAGGATGTTCAGCCTCATGACTAAGGAAAAGTTGGAGAGGTCATTGTGACCAAAGACAATGCCATGCTCTTGAAAGGAAAAGGTGACAATTCTCAAATTTAAAAACTTTTTAAAGAAATCATTGAGCTGTTAGATCTCACAACTAGTGAATATGAAAATGAAAATCTGAATGAACATCTGGCAAAACTCTCAGGTGGAGTAGGTGTGCTGAAGATTGGTGGGACCAGTGATGTTGAAGTGAAAGAAAATAAAGAGTTACAGATGCCCTCAAGCTATAAGAGGTGCTATTGGAGAAGGCATTGTTCTGGGAGGTGGTTGTGCCCTACTTCAGTGCATTTCAGCCTTGGACTCACTGACTCCAGCTAAAGAAGATCAAAAAATTGGTATAGAAATTATTTAAAGAACACTCGACATTCCTGCAATGACTATTGCTAAGAATTCAGGTGTTGGGACCAGCAGTTAGCATAATGGCTACGTCGCTGGACTCCCATGTAGTCGACTGCGGTTTGTATCCTGGACCCAGTGGCTTGAAACTCATGCTGGGGGCGTGTGCATGCATGCCCAAGATCCTGAGAGGAGAATGAAGGAGGAGGCATTGCAACGTGGCCATCTCCCCTGAGGGGTGATTTCTCACTTTCTGTCTCTCTGTCTCCCTGGCGAGCACATGCATCCTATAGCAAAAACCTCTAAAAAATTGTTTTTAAATAAAAAAAAAAACACCTGTCTAAAAAAAAAAGAAAAAGAATTCAGGTGTTGAAGGATCCTTAATAGCTAAGAAAATAATGGCAAAATTCTTCAGAAATTGGTTATGATGCCGTGGTTGGAGATTTTGTGAGTATGGTAGAAAAAGGGAATCATTGTCCCAGCAAAGGTTGTAAGAACTGCTTTATTGAATGCTACTGGAGTGGCCTCTCTGTTAACCACAGCAGAAGTAGTCACAGAAATCCCTAAAGTAGAAGGAGCCTAGAATGGGTGGAGTGGGTGGAATGGGAAGTGGTATGGGGGGTGGCATGTTCTTATTTCTAGACCAGGGCTTTACCATTATTCGTGAATTGTGACAGGAAGCTTAAGGCAGTGCTCCTCACTGAAAAGCAATAGAGGAGTCGGTTGAATAAAATAAAAGTGAAGAAAAGGCTGGCTGGTGTTTAAGAAAGTCACTATAACTAACCGCTGGCCCCAGGAAGTGTGTGTGCAACCAGTTCCCCCCCAACGTGGAGTCTTGTAACCTAGGTCTTACCTGAATCAGGATAAGGGAGTGGTGGGTCCAGGTGGGGCTGCTGACAGTGCCGCTGCTGGTCATGTACCTGTACATCCCGCCCCCTCAGCTTTCCCCTGCTCTTCATGCCTGAAAGTCTTCAGGCAAATTTTTTTACCTACAAGGGACTGAGCATCTTCTACTAAGACTCCATGAGTGTGGTTGGAAGCCCAGAGATTGTGCTTTTACACGGCTTCCCAACATCTAGCTATGACTGGTACAAGATTTGGGAAGG